GCAGCAAAGTCTGTAAGACACTTATCTCCAATTAACCACCAGAAAACTGGAAATGGTGCTAATGGCTCAAGAGGTAGAGCATTAGCCTTGAGCTGAGAACTCAGGGACAGCACCCAGGCCCTGAGTTGAAATCCCATGACCTACAAAAATAAAAAAAAAGATGGTCACTATAACATTCAAAAGCCGACATCCAGGCACCTTTTGTTGTTATTTTTTTTTTTATGTCAGTTGTCGGACTTGAACTCTGGGCCTGGGCACTGTTCCTCAGCTCTTCAGCTCAAGGCTAGTGCTCTACCACTTGAGCCACAAGCCACTTCTGGCTTTTTCTGCTTGTTTGGTGCTGAAGGTTTGAACCCAGGGCCTCATGCATGCAAGGCACGCACTCTACCACTGAGCCACCTTCCCAGCCCTTTGTTGGTTACTTTTAAGGTAGGTTATTGCTTTCTGTCCTGGCCGAAGTGGGCTGCAGTCCTACTTATGCTTTCCCATGTTGTAGGGATTACAGGTACACACTACTTTGACCAGCCATTGAGCTTCCTTTTGGTTGGGTAAGAAGGATGTAGTACCATATAGCCATTAACTGAGATGAAATCCAGAAGACTTTTATGATTGGGCTGTCCTGTTTCTAAACAACCAAGTCTTTAGTCTTCATTTAATTAATTTCTGCCAATTTTATTATTTCTCTCTCCTGCTTCTGGGTTTGGGTTATCTGTTGGTTAGATTGGGATTTTAAAGGCACCTACTCTTATTGTGCTTTGATCTGCACTTTCATGTTGTGTTTGTCATATGAAATTAGGTATGATGATGTTTTCTCCTGTTCATAGATTGTTTTCCTTTTAAATTTATTGTGTTATCTTTAAATAGTGGTACAAAGGAGCTTCAACATTTAATACATCTTGATTAGTGGATTGTTCTTGTTAGCACTGTGAAATGCCCTTCTATTGACTAATCCTAAATTAGTCAAACCTAATTTGTAAGACTGCTTTTCCAGACGTAAGAATTGCTACTTGTACTTGCATTTGAAGTCCTTTTGATTGGAAAATGTTTTCCCATACATTTGCTTTAAGCCTATGTTTTATATTTTGTTTTGTTTTCATTCCCAGTGATGTGTCTATTTTTATAGGTTAAAGTGTTTGATTCTTGTTTTTGAATCCAATTTTTGATCCAATCTGACAAAATATGTTTATGGTTGTAGAATTGGGGCTATTAACAGTCAGAGATTTTGTAATATGTATGATTCAGAGTTGTATATATAATATATATTTTGTTTTATTCAGTTATTGATATACTTAAAATAATTCCTGTATAATTCTTTCCTGTATTTTCATGTTTGCATTTTCCTTCTTTTGTCATAACAATTCCTCTAATTTGCTTTTGCAACCCTGGCTTACTAGTTGTGAATTCCTTTAGTTATCATGGAAGGCTATTGCTCCTTCAGTTGTGAAGTATAGTAATCTGAGTTGGAAGTTCCTTTTATCCATGATTTAAATTACACTATTGCATGCTCTTTATGTTTTTATATCCTGTTATTCTGTTTTAATAGGTGACTTGGTGCTTTTTTCTTGGAAGCTTTCAACATACATTTCTAGTCTTGTACATTTAATGTTCTATCTATAGTTAACCTTACGTAGTTTCTTTTCCTGATCTTTTTTGTTTTGGTCTTATATTAGCCTCTTGTACTTGAGTACTATTATATTCTCCTGGACTTGAGAAGTTTTCTGCTATTTTTTTTTGAACGTGTCCTGCCTAGTTTGGTACGAACTGCGATCCTTAGATCTCATCTTGAGTCATTAAGATTAGAGGTATGAGCCACTGACACCCAGCCCTATTACTGTTTCTTAACTTTACAAAGTGATATAGTCACGGAAGTTTGAGGAAGTTTGTGCAAGAAGTATCATATGTAGACCTAGAAAATTCTAAGTGTTTTGGAACATGCCTGTAATGCCAGAACTGAGGCTGAGACAGGAAGACTGTGGGACAACACCAAAACAAAACAAAAAACACTGACTTCCATAAATCAGGGAGGCCAAATGCTCCTCAATGGAGTTTGGAATCACAAGTCTGTTTCTCTAGTCCTTGTGATAGAGAGAATATTATTCAGTTGAGTTATGTAGTGAGCTGATAGCAAATGTGAGGCCTTGTGTCTAGGGCACATTTGGAAAGAATGCCTGGTAGTGCTATGGAGTTATTAGCAGCAGACTAAGGAAAATTGTTTTGAGCTTCATCAAAGAGATGCAGTTCCAGTCATCCGTTAGGGGTTAGTTAAATGAATGTTTGACCAAATATAGTCTAAATTTTAAGTTGATAGTTTTATATAGTCAGCCAGTTAACCTCCACCTTACAAGAAGCTGCCTTACAATCAATGTCTTCCTAACTTTACCTTGTGTAAACTACTGGGATAAGGCAGAGTATCTATCAAGTTTTCTGACTAAAGAAGTTATTTCCAAAAAAAAATGAAGTTATCTTGGAGTCACTCCAAAAATCACAGAAATTAACTCATAGAAGATAAAAGTTTACCATGTGTTTTTACTAGAGACACTATCTTTTCATCTGATGACTTATCAACACGGACTATCTGCATAGATAATTTTAATTGACAGTATAATTTTGTCCCTCACCTCCATCCCACGCTATTATGTAATCTTCAGGCTCATTCAGTTGTCCTCCAAATCATTCTCTACTCTTAAAAAATTGCCTACAACATCCTCTTCCATTACTCCTTTCCCTGGGAAGAGTTTTGATAATGTGGCCCTTCTTTTAGTTGTCATATTTTTTCTATACACTATTAAATGTGTATACCTCTTTTTCCTGTTAATTTGTCCATTATTGGTTTATTTCAACAGACTTAAAGACCAGTCTTGGGAGGGAGAAGTTGAAGTCCTGTCATCCCTATAGTAAGCCAAGAGGATTAAAAGCAAAGGAACAATATACAAATATAAATAAGAATAAATAATTATGAATGAGAAAATTTAAAATTTAAAAAGAAAACTTGTCTTTGGTGATTCATTCCTATATTTCTAGTTACTCAGATGGCTAAGACCCACATAAGCAAGATTCAAAGCCAGCATGGGCAGAAAAGTCTAAGGGACTCTATATGCAATTAAGCAGCAAAAAACCTGGATAGCGTGATGGCATAAGTGATAGAGGAGTAGCAGCAAGCCAAAAAAGTGAAAGGCTTCTGAATTGAGGCCCAGAGGGGGGAAATGCAGGGAGAAGAAACTCCTAATACTGAATCAGTAAACTTTTATGGAAATGAAAATTAATACATTTAAAACTTAAAATATTAAAAATAAATCTGTAATATGAAGCATTTGCTTGTATATCTATCATCTGAAACAAATCTAAATGTAGATTTCTAATTAGGCCCTCTTGGCATACTTCCGAAATCCTGAGGTCCTTGAAGGGTAAAAGAATAAAAAATAGATTTTATTCTTTATTTCTTTACCTGTCCTGGGCCAATCTGCTTAAGTATTCTTTGAAAAGCTGATGAACATTGAGAAGTGTTTTAGCAGACAACTACAAATAAACTTGTTTAACCAGTTTACCAGTAGACCTTCCACATGCCTAGGAATAAAAAAGCAACAAATAAACTAATTTAATAGTTAATATTTGGCACTTATTTATTAGACTTTTTCAGCTATTGTTAGCACTTCCTGCTCTTTGTATGTGGAACTATTATCTTATTTTTAAGAATAAATATTTCACTCAGGACTATAGGAGAAATTTAAATGACTAGAACAGATGGATTGTATTTGCATATTATTTCTATATTGCTGAAAGAGTGTTGTAAATGAATTCAGCACCATGGTGTTAAGGGACTAGAAAAAGAAACTTGGGAACTGTTAGATTATTATCAAGGTAAAGGTACTTATTCCCTGGATGGCAAATTCTACCTATTCTAGCTTTTATTATCCTTAGGATAGTGTTCTATTTATTTCATGAGTACAGAAGTTTTAATTGGATATGTCATGTTTCAAAGACAAAAGAAATGCCTAATTCACTCTAACAAACTTGTTAGTCACTGTTTATACCGAGAGGATTTCTACTCTACAGAGAATAATATTGTTTTCTTTTTTCTTTGTTGATAAATCAAAGTTTTACACTGACCTACAGCAGTCAGGCATACTTTAAAGTAAAATTATCTGAAGCTAACACAGATACATATCGTTTTAGTTTTCTTTTTTCTTCCTTTTTAAAAGAAATATTCTATTTCAAAAATAATAAGAATATGTTAAATTGTTACTATTTTTCTGATAAATGTTATTTATAGGTTTTAGTAATTTAGATAATTTCATAATCTAACAGAAAATTTTAGGAGTTTTCTCTCTTATTCTTGGTAAATCACTTGTAATTTTTTTCACCAAAAAGCGTTTGGTAGTCAGTTATATAGCCAATGTTGGAATATTGTAGGTACTTTATCCATATACTCAAGTTTTTATTTGTTGTGAAATCACAGTTCTTCTTGAAATGTGATTTTTATGGTTTACCCTGCTCTGTGCATGACCTTTGACTTGAACAAAAGATTTGGGTGATGGCAGTGGGATGGTGGGGATACAATTTCAATACATCTTAATTCTGTTACTGTTTGCTTTGTTCCACAATCACTCTGATCCTCCTGGCAGGGAAGAAGATCCTGAGAACAAAACTAGTAGTGACTGTATAGATAAAAAGGCAATGAATTTCGCTTTTAAGGCAAAGGAGGAACAGTCTACAAAAGAATGAAAATGGGAATAAAAGTAAAGTATGGTTAACCTGCAGATCTATTATACTTTTGAAAATGTTAACATTGCAGAAAAAAAGTCACTCTACAAAGATACATAATTATGTGACTGAAAATCTTGCAAGAGGTAACCATTTAGTTCCTGGCAAGGCATATAGAAGAAAACAGACCAGATTATTCATAAGTGAAAAAAACACAAAAATCTTTCCATTAAAATGATAGGAAAGACAGTCTTTTACCAGTATACAAAGAACTATAATATATTATTTTTCTCTGCCAGAACAACTGTATAGATACCATGAAGATGATGAGGTCAACAAGAGTACTCCAGAGAAGAATGAGAAAGAAATGTCGGAGCAGACATTACAGAAGGTAGTCTAATCTTTAAGATATTGAGCTAAGCAAGTTAAATCTGACTTTTAACATAAAGGATTATATTTTAAAATGAGAGCTCATGAACTTAAACTTCATGTGTTTTCTTAATTTAAATTCATAATTCAAAATCATTGGCTTGCCATAATGGGGTAAAAAAAATCAATGTTAGTGATATAAATGTGTAAACACTTGTGCTTCTGTTGACATAGTTTAAAAACATTTTCAGAGTGAAATAAAGAGAATGAATATAATGAATGAATATAATGAATATAATAGAAATTAAAAAATTTAAACTGTGTGCTTATTAGTTATAACAGGGCAGTTAAAATTTAAAAGAGGTCATAAGACTGCTACACTGCAAAATACATACAGATAGTTTTGGAACTGAAAACTAAGTACTAATTACAGTGCTACCACAGTAAAATAGTAATATTTATAATTTTACACTTGAAAATATCCTTGTCTTATTAGATAAAAAGTTTTATTAAGACCATTAATATAAAAATACCACATGACTATCATTAATAGTAAAATAATGTTTTGAAATTTTAACATTTCAGATCCAGGAATGAGATACTGGAAAAAATATCCAGACATTTGCCCTTAAAATTTATACTTATCTCACAGTTTTGCGTATAAATATATTGCTATTGAGCGTAATAAAGTGGACTCAATTATATTAACAACTTTTGGTTGGACTCAATTATATTAACTTTTGGTATTGTTATAAAGAAAATCTTTCACTACTTTAATCTTACAACTGTCATCTGGTTGTGGCTGGTTGTGTTTTAAAATAAAATTTTAGTACTTAAAGCTGGATATACATACACACACCAATCTCTACTACTGTAGCTATGTATATATGTATTTCTGCATCTGTGAGTTGACTTACAACATCTTGTCATTTACAGTAGATGATGTGATTTCCTAACCTTTGCTGTATGGTCGAGTAACAAACTGCCATCTTTTTATTACAGAATTACACATACCAAATTAACATAATAGCAATAGAAAAATGTTTACATTCTTTTAAAGTAAAATGAAAGATTGAACTATCCCAATTACTATCAGCTAGGATGTCATGATGCTGATTACTAGCTTATAATCTTGGTTTTAAAACAATATTTTTGTCAGGTTTTGTATAATTTTTTGTGTTTATATAGAATAAGTTTCTATTACTGCCCTGTAAAAATCCTAAAGGAATGTATGATGTCACTCTCACTACCATAAATTAATACTACCATCATGTATTTAAAAACCATTTCAAGGTTTAGAAAACAAACAAGAATTAGTTTCATTGGACCATATGTCACATTTGCATACTAATTTGTCACTATTTTAAAAAAATTACCTCATGAAGTTCTATGAGCTATGATTTTAATCCTCATGATTGAATTTTATTATTCTAAAAAGATGTACATGAAACACATTCAAAAGGATTTGAAAAATAGTAATAAGCTGGGCACCTATGGTTTGTGCCTGTAAGAGTACTCAGGAGGCTAAGAGCAGAAGGATGAAGGCCAGTGTGTGGGTGGGAGTGGAGGGTGGGGGTAGCTTGAGAGACCTAGTCTTAAAAATAGCCAACAAAAAAATAGGACTGAAGTGATCAGGGTCAAGTGGTTGAGTATCATCCTTGCAAGTAGGAAGCCCTGAGTTCAAGGCCAATTAACTCCCTTACCTTCCAAAAAGATGAAAACTTTATGTTAGAAATGAAACATATGAGTAATTTTAAAATAATACAGTATAATTTCACACTGTTATTGGCTAAATTACATTCACTGTTATTTGATGACCTTCTGTATGCACTTTGTCTAGAAACAGTAAAGAAGTAATTAAGATAGGTTTGTTAGTTTAGACTCTTAATTTCAAGATGCTAGTGTCCTTATAAGAAAAGGAAATAAGAACATTGAGAATATGTAGAGAGACCATGTGGCACAGGCAAAAGTTTGCCATGTATGTTGCAATGGAGGAGCATCTAAAGAAACCAATCCTACAGATCACACACAATTTGGAGAGCTTCTTGAACTCAAAATTATGATAGCAAATTCCTGTTGTTTTAGTCATGTACTCTTCATATTTTGTTATGGAAATCTTAGTAAACAAATATACACACTAACAATGATGCTTTATTTTCATTTGAAAGATGGATAATTTTTCAATGTGTTTTGGATAAGTTATTTTAAATATTCAGTATTGAGAGAAAACATGGGCTTTCTTTTTTAAAAATTTTATTGTCAAGGTGATATACAGATTCAGCTGGTTTAAAACACATGAACCAAATGCCTTTGACAATATTTCAGATTTTCATTTTTAAAATCAGGTTAACAATTTTTTTTTAGAAAGTGAGATTTTTATTTTTTTTAATTTTATTTATTATTTTTTGGTCAGTCGTGGGGCTTGAACTCTGGGCTTGGGCGCTGTCCCTCAGCTCTTCAGCTCAAGGCAAGTGCTCTACCACTTGAGCCACAGAGCCACTTCCAACATTTTTTAAGTATATACTCTGGATTCTTTAATAATGTAATCATTTGATGAGTCCATGTCAGAAAAAGACATTTAATCCCTAATTTCCTGGTCAGTCACCAGATGTGTTACCAGAAAGTTTAGGGCAACTAAACAGCCTTCATCCTTGCATCTGTCAAGAGAAGAATTCAGTCAAGAAATAAACACAGTGAAAGAGATTGGAGAGTTTATTAGAAAAGGAATATAATATAAAAAGAGACATGCCGTGGGAAATATGGCAATTCTGCCCAACTCTACCATGTTAGCTATCTTCCTTATTACAGGTATTGATCTTGGGTTAAATAGTGAATATTGGAGTCCTTGAAGATGACTTTCTGATTGGTAGCTCTTTCTGTTTCCTATAAGGTTGTGATACCAAAGATTTATTAGTCTGCCCTTATTTCCTCATTCTTTTGTCCTTGTTCTTTATTCTTTTTTTCTATTGTTCTTTTTTTGTGCTGGTCCTAGGCTTATACTAGGCAATGTCCTTGAGCTTTTTTTTGCTCAAGGTTAACACTCTACTACTTAAGCCATAGCTCCTCTTAGAACTCTTCGGTAGTTAAGAATTTCAGTGGACTTTCCTGCCTGAGTTGGCTTTGAACTTCAATCCTTAGATACCAGCCTCATGCGCATGTAGGATTATAGGTATCATTAGCCAACAGCACCACACTTGCTTTTTGTAGATTCCTGCCCCCCATATAAGGTAGGTTTTGGTTTATCAGAGTATCTTGCTATCTCTAAGTTCTCTAAGCCAAAATTTCATAACTGGATTTTTTTTACTAACATATCAATAATAAGTGCTATGAATTTTATCTGTTCAAAGTCTTTAGGAGTAATGTTTTGTTATCTGCTTTTTAAACAAACATAGATAATGTTGTTCAACTATTATACTTTCATAAAGCAATTAACAGACTTTAAAAACATTTTTAGTTGGTTTAGAAGCACAAAAATGTAATGCTTTTTCTGCCCTATCATAGGAGTAGTGTCTGATGCTTCTATAACAACCACGAAAAGGTTAAAAAGGGAAAAAGCATAATAAATTTACTTAAAGTTTGACAAAACACTTGAGGCTTCAGAACCAAAACATCCCAGAAAAACTGTCCAGTTTCATGGTTTTCTTTTTAGGTTTTATGAACAAAGGATGACTGTTCCAAAGTGTAAGAACAAATATACCTAGGGGATAACCATGAAGACCTGTTTACTCATTCTTTTTCAGGGCCTCAGTGTATAGGATTTTTTTCTTTTACTCTAGGCATGGAGTGAGGTCAGTGTCTGGAAAGATTTCTCCCTCCCTCCCTCTCTCCCTTCCTCCCTCCCTCCCTCCCTCCCTCCCTCCTTCTCTGCCTCCCTCCCTTCCTTCCTTCCTTCCTTCCTTTTTTGAGGTAATGGAGATTGAACTCAGGGTTATAGGTAAGCACTTTCCCATTTTTTTCATACAGGCCTTTTTGCTTTTATCTGGAATTGACATAGATATTAATTCTCTTAACTAAGGCCTCATACATAGCTGGGATTGAAGTGTGTTTAACCACACTTAACTTATTGATTGATACAGCAATAATTACTTCACTAACTTTTTTCCAGGGCCAGCATTGAACTGTGATCCTCTAATGTCTTTCTCTCCCTTTTCCATCAGTCTTTCTTTCTCTCTCACTTTCTTTGTGACTTTGACTTTGTCTATCTTTCTGTAGATCTCTCCTTTTCTCCCTCCCTTCCCCCCGCTTCTTTCTCTTCTACCTCCCTCTCCTTTCCTCTCTGTCTTCCCTTTGTCTCTTTTCTTTCCTCTGTCTGTCTGTCCATCCATTGGTCCATTTGTCCATCTGTCTGCCTGCCTGCCTACCTGTCTCTTTGTCTCTATGTCTCTATGTCTCTCTCTCTCTCTCTCTCTCTCTCTCTCTCCTCTCTCTTTTCTTTCTCTCCTGCCATAATTCAGGGTCTCACTCTCTGTTGACATTTTTGCTTATGACTGGCCCTCTACTTCTTGAACAACATCTCAGTTCTGTTTTTATTTTTATTTTTTCTGGTTAATTGCAGATAAGTCTCAAAGATTTTTCTCCTCAGGAAGGTTTCCAGCAGACATTCTCAGATCTCAGCCTTCTGAGAAGGTAAGATTATAGGCATGAGCCACTTGAGTCAACTTCTTCCTTCTCTTGAGTAGCTTGGATTACAGGTATAAACCCCTGTGCCCAATCTTGGAATGAGGATTTTTCAAGGGCAAACAAATAAGGAAATGAGCCAGGTGCCAGTGGCTCATGCCTGTAATCCTAGCTACTCAGGAGGCTGAGATCTGAGGATCACGGTTCAAAGCCAGCCCGGCAGGAAAGTCTCCAATAAACCACTAGAAAACCGGAAGTGGCGTTGTAGCTCAAGTGGTAGAGCTGAAGAGTGCAGGGACAGTGCCCAAGCACAGAGTTCAAGCTCCACGACAGACAAATGAAGGAAGGAAGGAAGGAAGGAAGGAAGGAAGGAAGGAAGGAGGGAGGGAGGGAGGGAGGGAGGGAGGGAGGGAGGGAAGGAAGGAAGGAAGGGATCATTTTAGGAATTATGTCTTGGTTCTGCCTTGGAAAAGGAAAGTTCTTGTTTCCATGACTTGCTTTGGGAAAGGAAGTGTTAATAGGAGATGTGAGGGCAGAAGATTCCCTTCCAGTGCCTTTCAATGCAGAGTATTCAGCATACCCAAATACTTTGGGGTATTGGGTTCTGAGCACCAATATTTAAACATTTCATGATTTATCTGCAAACATAAATACAGTTTAATCAAAAGAAAAAAATATGCTAGCTTCAAGGATTAAAATCTAAAATTCAGATGTTTATTTGCTTATAGTTTTATTTTAAATCTATAAAATTGGTTTAATGGGTATTTCACTATGTTTAATAGAAGTAATTATATTTTAGTTCTTTAAGTAATTGTCTTAGGTAATTGTTAAGAGTAATAATAATAGAAATAATGATAATGATGAAGGTGTTAAATTGGTTAGCATTTACTGTCTGCCAAGATTAGTTATTTTCAAACATGTAATACCTTTTACTAGTCTCATTGCACCAATGAGAAAACTAAAAGTAAAACAGGTTAAATATCTTATTGTCTAAAGCAATCAAAGTTAAGAGTGAGATAGAGACCTGACTCAAAATTTTATTTCCCATAAACCACATTGCTTCTTTCTGGTATTTTTTATGTCACAACTACTAAAATTTTACAAAAGTACGGTTGTTTTCTTGCACAAAATATATAGTTAAAAATACAGCCCAGTTTACTTACTTTACTTGGAATCTCATGCTAAAGTGTTTTATAGATCCATTCACAGAAAGTAAAAAAAATACAGTTAATATTCATTACTATGCATGTAAGTTACTAAAAGTGGGTAATAAAAATTGGAGGTAGATAATTTGAAAAAAGTTAAGAAATGGATTTGAATTTGTTTTAAGCCTGTTTGTTTTTATGGATACTATTTTTTGTCACATTAACCAGCTTTTCAGTAAATTAATAGAATTGAGAAGGAGCCAGAGAATGTCTTCCAAAGAAATACATAAAATTCTATAATCATTGGGTACAAAAATTTTCTCATTAGGTCAGAAATAGGTCCTATAGGCACATAGATTCAATAATAAATAGGTAGGTATATTGTGGTATAGAGGTAAGAAAAAATAGATGAAATTCTTCATATTGTATTGGTTACTCATGCCTTAGGATAGGATTATCCAGTCAGAAAAATGACCATTTAATTAAATAAAACTTGTTTAACTCACAAGAATAGGGGCCATAGAAGTATAGATATATGAAAAATGTACCCGAAACTTATGGTGAGGACACCATAGTCAGTAATGTTCAGTACTCTGGAAAGCGTTAAAGATACATATGTTACCTTGTATATTTCTGGAATATTACTATATGAAATTATTGATTTTCCCCCTTAGGCTTTTCAATGTACTGTAACAAATATGTATATATATATATTTATATATATTGGATATATATATTTATATATACACACACACACATACACGCACAGAAAGAATTCTTTCTTTAAAGAATTTAGTTTTAAAATAAATAGGAGCCCATAGAGTTTTTAGATTTTTTTGTTTACCTCAATTTTTTTTCTTGACTTCCAGTTCTTTCTTTATTTACTTTTTTTGGTGATGGTCCTAGGGTTTGAACTCTTATCTTTTTGCTCAAGGCTGATCTTTTAATATTTCAGCTACACCCCCACTTCCTGACTCTCAATTCTTTATTTATAATTCTGGGTAGCCCTTCTTTGTGTAATAGTAGCAGAATTCAAATATCTTGAATTTGAATTCTAATCCAAAGGAGGAAAAACTTCCATCTATGTATAATCTAAGTTTCAGAATCTCAGTCCTTTTAGTTTTCATTGTTTTTATAAAGATAATTAATGATTTTGTTTACCTCATTTTGGGAGGAAATGATTAGGAGAGATTATGTTGGTGAATCTATGAAAAATTAAAAGAAATATTTCTTTACAAAAGTAACACTTATTACTTTCCAAGTTCTATATCTAAATCAATGTCTATGAAATTTTTGTGCTCAGGAATTAGAATTATTCTTTTATTGACATTTAGCCTGTTATCATTAGATCTTATCATTTATCAATTTTAGGTATGCAAATATTTATATTTTTTAACTCCAACTTCCAGACATTTTTAAAATTCTTTAATATCAAGAAGTATATATTACATTGCTTTTGTCCTATAACATAAACAATATTGAAATAAAAGGAAAAATTTTGCTTTATATACATCAGAAAAGTCTTTATAATTTTAAATCATTATAGTTTATTTTTGGTAAAACTTTTTATTATATACAAAATAAGGGCCACAAGACTTCTGCAGTTACATTTTTCTAATTACAGAAAAAGCACCTGCTCTTGGTTATTTGCATTTAGTCATCACTTGTTCATATATTTAAGTATTGATGAAAAATGTTATTTACTAGTAGTTTTCTTGTGTTTCTGTTTTTAGATTGTTTCAATGGTTATTCTATAAAAATATTTTGTACAATAAGTAGAATGTATAGCCAAACCATTTGAACTAAATTTATTAACATACTTAGTTCTGTGTCACTTTGTGAAGAATTTTTAACTTCTTTTACCATCTGTCCTTTACTCAACAGATGCGTTATTGCACTTTAGAATGGATTCATGTATAACACCTTAGAATTATTTAGAAATTAAGTACCTTAGTTTTCTTTCGTCCTTGTACTAAGGGTTATTTTTCACTAGTTAGAAATGATAATAAAAATGCAGAAGATAATGGTCTTGGATTTTAAAAGTGTTAATTAAACTCTTTGTTTAGATCATTGAATTGGAAAATCGGCTAAAATCTTTTGAGAAAAAGTCAAGAAAATTAAAAGAAGGAAATAAAAAATTAATGAAAGAAAATGATTTCCTGAAATCTCACTTAAAACAACATCAAGAAGATGCAGAAAGTAGAGAAAAAGAGCTAGAATTGCTACTAAAGGGGAGTAAAGATGTAGAAAAAGACAAAACTGAACTTCAAGTAAAAATCAATGAGCTGGAGAGAGAAGTCACTTCCCTAAGGAGACAAGTGGCAGAAGCTAACATGTTGAGAAATGAAGAGCTGGTGAATCCAGTGGAGAAATCTCACAATTCAACAGACAGAGCTAAATCAGAAATGACCACTATGGAACTGAGATCTGGACAGTGTGATTGTAAGACAACCACTACCAAGGTTAAATTTAAAGCAGCAAAGAAAAAGTGCTCTGTGGGTCGTCCACATACTGTTCTCAATCACTCCATCAAGGTTATGAGCAATATGTTTGAGAACCTCAGCAAGGACGGCTGGGAGGATATGAGTGAAAGCAGGTAAGGCTCTCATTAACTTAGCTCTGTGGTGGGGACACTGTGCATATGTAAAGCACTGGCAAATGGAGATTGAATTTCAACTACTGTCGATTTGGTATTCAGAAAAAATACTGTCAGATCCTTTGAAATATCTTGGGAGGTCTTGTTCTGAGCTTATTGACTGAAATTTGCATGCAAAATTAGCCACAACTGCATGAGTATTTGAATAGGTGCCAAGAAGCCCAAAAGAAGGCAATGCTTGATTTCTTCCAGTGATGCTATTTTCATGCAGTCATGAGGCTTGAAATTGACAGTTTGGCAGGTTGATTTAATTTGCTGGCCCTTTGCATATTCACCACTGACAGCTAAGGATTCCCAGGCAAGCCTACTAAGTCAGTTTAGTTATCTTGTGACATGCCAACCTGGGAGGAGAAACATTTTTCCCCCTTAATTTAGTTAGATAAATTTTGAATGACCCATTTCAGCTTGTTACCAGATGTCTACAAGCTGTTTAACATCCTTTAAATTAAGAACCATCTTCACTAATTATTTCATGTATATATTATGCAAAGTCATTGTACTAACTTTAATTGAATAGTAGTCAAAAATTACTTCTTTGGGGTTATATAGATTCGTAGTCTTAAATTATTTAACCCCTATTGAATAGCAACAGGAGAATAAAAAAATCCATCCTCTCTCTTACCCCTAGCTATACATTCATATGCACACTTGAAGCACAAAGATACATGATAAGACATCTCTTTTTATTTTTTAGGCAACACAGAAGTCCACAATTGCTAACAACTTGTCCATTTTTTCCATCAAGTTTTAAACTATGCCTTATTTCATAATAATATATATTTCCCTTTCTGTTCTGTTTTGTTTTGTTCTGTTTTGTTTTTAGGTTCTAGCAGTGGTTCTTTATTAGATTTGGTAAGATGATGTAAATTTCTTAATCAGTGCTTGAAAGATGTGATACTTACGATCATCCTCATAAGGACCATGGCTAGTATTCCTGTAACAATAGAAAAGTCTGTTTGATTTATTTAATCAAACTTTTACAAGGCAAAAGAAGATTCAGATTGAATACTCATAGATTTGTGGTCCATTTTTATGCTTAGATTTAATAAATGAACAGTTGCGCAGAAATATGCTTAGACAAACAGAATATAATCAATATCTTTAGATAAGCCCAAAAGGGCTTATCTGAGCCTGTTCAAATTCTTTTTTGCCTGTCTTCTCAGCATTCACTCTCTTAATGTTGGGGAAAACCCCTTATGGAGAGAAGTCTTAAGATCTACTACCGTGCAAAGTAGGAATGAGGGTTTTATAATTTATTATCATTCAAGGTAGATATGATCATTTTTTTAAATGCTAGTAATTTTTCACAGAATGGCAGACAAAAATGAGGAAAACATGTAAATTTAATAGCATGGTCAGATAAATTTGAGAACCACTGTTTTATATGGTACAAGTCAAGCTCCTTATCCTTAGACAAACTCAAAAAACAAAAAGAACATATTTATAAATTTGTTTACCTTAGTGAAGATGAGACCAGAGAATCAAATCTGCATTCTCATTTCTTTGTTACCTTTTCTCAGCTTCTTTGATCCTCTCTAAAGCAATTATAGATAAAATACTACTTAACGGAATCTTCAAGTAAATTCTTGTCACTATGAACTCTATGTCAGTCATGTAGTATCATTGCACTATTCCTCATCTATGGTTCATTTACTTATCTGTGAGTCTGTATAAATAAATACATGAAAAAGTAAATGCTTAAGAGTTAGGTGAAACACTCAGTTTAATTTCATCATATTAACACAGAGGCATATATTTTGAGTTATATCACGCTATATTTTTTAGAAAATATAGTACTGTCACTTTATTTATTTAGCAGTGAAATTCAATTTTACATGTGCAGATTAACTTTGTTTCTTGCTTGACAGAACATTTGCAGGAATCATCCAGCTGTGAAGAATTCTAAAACAATTAGAAATCCTGCAGTAGAAATTTATAGACTTCAGAAAAGATTATTTTTTGGCTCTTCAAATTCTAAAATATAAGATGTTATACTGAGAAAGAATAGAATTTAATCATATGTATGTACACACATAAGCTATATTTTATAATGATTACTATTTTTAGTATTTATTTTATATAGCTTACAAGCAAATGTTCATTCAGTGATGGGTGATAATCATTAAGAAAAGAAACAACTGAATTTGAATATCTCTACCAAGTTGAAAATTGAGGAAAATAAACCTGGTAGGGAAAATATAGTAATGAAAATTTGTTAAGTAGATATGTAGCAGAATATGCTACTACAGATTAGGCCACTACATCCATAAGGATGATTTTGACCTGAAGGCAAGAGAAAAAGATGGTGAAATATACAATAGCTTGATTTCTACTAGCCTTTGTCTGATTATATTTTGACTAGTGTTCTCACCTAAGCTGGCTTTCCCTTTGTAAGCTATGTACCTATTTATCTCAGGAGACATTTCAAATTTATTATGTTTATTGTTTTCACTGGATGGAATATAAACTTTCTGAGAACATAAATATTGTAGAATTGTTTTTTCAATGCATCTAACCTAATATAATATTATAGATATCCAATAATTTTTCAGAATATGAATATGAATAAATGCCCCATTTCCAGAAATGTTTTCTTACAAGGATATCGTTTCAATTTTAAAGTTTTTTCCTTAGGAGAGTCTCACTACCAGATAAAAATTATACTTTTAATTTTTTGCCTCTTTAGAAATTGTATATTGATTTCTTCCCAAGTTGTAGACAAATGGAAAAGGAGAAAATATAAAACAACAATAGGACACCTAAACATTTAGATTCTAGGGTTTTGATCTACACAGGAAATAATCGGGATATTGAAAGTACTTTTAGATGTGATTAAATGTTTATGTTTTGAAGAGGACCCCAAATGGCTAAAAGTATTAGAGATAGATAAGTATATAGATGCAAAAACAAGGAGCTGGATGATAGTGGCTTATACCTATAATCCTAGCTACTCAGGAAGCTGAATTCTGAAGACCCAGGCAAAAAAAATCCCAAAAGACATTCTCTGATTGACCCGCTGAAAAGCTTGAGTGAAGTTCTGTCCCAGGTAGTAGAACACCAGCTATAACTGACATAGCTAAGTGAGTGTATGAGGCACTGAGTTCAAACCCTGGTACAATCACTAAAAAACAAAATAGGAAGAAGTGTGTGTAATTGGTTATTTTTTGAAATAAATCATAAATAAGATTTTAGAAAATTCACGAATGTGTCTTAACAGAAGCAGTGATTTCTCAAAATCAACATGGGTTCTTTTAGGGAAACTTTTATTTTATTCCATTACAGGGGCTTAAACTCAGGGCCTTGAACTGTTACTTGGCTTTCTTACTTATGGCTGGTGCTCTACTACTTGTGCCATACCTCTAGTTTGGTATTTGCTGGTTAATATGAAATGGAGCCTGGAAGGCTTCTCTTCTCAGAAGTCTGGCTGGCTTCAAATTATGATCCTCCAGGCCTCAGCCTCCTGAGTAGGTATGAGCCACTGGAATCTTGCCTTTAAGAGAAATTCTTACCAGAATTTTTTCATTACTTAGAATTGAACCCAGGGCCTTGCACTTTCTAGGACAGCACTTTATCACTGAGCTTCAGCTCCAGCCCTATTTTGTATGTGAGAATATGTATATGTATGTGAGTGTCTGCACTTGCACATAAGCTAGGAATTGAGTCTAAAGCCTTTTATGTTCAGGATAAGGTCTCTACCACTAAGCCATTTCTTCAGACCACATTATTTCTTTTACACTAATAATAAATACAACATATATGAATTCCAATAAAGTATGGTTATCAAGTTTGTTTATATATAATAACAACATTGAAAGGGATGGAGAATATTTACAAGTATAGAGAATGAGAAATACTTTACCTTGTAAATCAAAATAGATAAACTGGGAAAATATAGTTATGCAAAAGACTATAGGGTAGTTCACTAGGTTGTAAAATGGCAGTTGCTCAAAATACAATGGGAAAAATATGAAGTTGAAGAATAGAAATACTTTTACAAGTTTTGCCCAATGTTATATGAGTTTATAGTATATGACAGAAAAAGTTCACATGATTTTACTTGGTAAAAATTAAAAAGAGAAAGAGAGAGAGATTATAAAAGTTTTCTCTGTACCTACCTGAAATTTCACTAATTTCTTTTCAATAGTGTACTTGGAATGTGAAATTCAACCCTGGATATGATCCTTCATCATGAAAGCTAGAGCAAATTCAGTTGTGGACAGGGGTGGTAAAGCATCTCATAAACATATAAATTAGTATTATATAGATTAGCATGGTAACAAGCAGCATATGACTATGTGAAATACTTAGAAGATTATCATGTAGAAAGGGACATGTTTACTTATATGTTCTTCTCTGCCATAAGACTTCTAATCTTCTTGCTTAAATTCTTCAGCATACCATGCATCTTACTTATTTTATTTCGTTTCCTATACCCCAATTCTGTGATAAAAAGTTGAAGATAAGGTTTTTGTATTTTAATTCACTTTTTAATTCATCTGTTATACCTAATACAACACAAAAATGGCACAAGAACACATTTTATTAAATGATAAATAGCCAGCCATAAAGAATGAAATTACAAAAAAATCAGTAAAAACCTAAAGGCTTAAATTTTATATTTGCTGAAGAGATGTGCTGGTAAAGCAGAACATCTTATGGTCTGGATTAGAAAGTAGTACATACTCATACCCATGAAGCGTTTTAATGTGTATGCTACCTGAGTTGATACTTATAAACTACAGAAGAGATAGTAATAGGGATTTGATGCTAGATATCTATTTTCTGGATGAGATTCTAGAATTTTGTAAAAGATATTTAAATTAATGTTTTCCTTGCAAAATACACATAATAGTACTTGGATTTTTCATTTCTTCATCCTCTCCCCCTTTTTAAAGCAGCGATTCAGAAACACAGACCTCTCAAAATTTGGGAACAATTATTGTGGAAACATCACAGAAAATAGGCCCTGCAGGAAATGGAAGAGACCAGAAAGAAGGTGATCAAACAGAAGACATCCCAACTCAAGGAAATGAAGTAATACAAGCATATTCAAATGTAGATGATAAGCCCTCAAAGGTACATGAAATCGTTTTGCTTAATTGTAAGCTATCTTATTAATTTTATGACATAACATAAATCACTGAATTTTGTCCATTTTTAGATAGGAATCCTTAAAAATTGTCTTCCTTGAAGTATACAGTGAAAATACTTATCCAAAAAGAATTTTGAAGTACTATTTTGCTATAATATATTAATAGATAAAATGAAAATTAATCCTCATAAATCTTAAGGTAGTTTTATGTCTTAGCAAGAAAATTAATTGAAACTTAATAACTTAATAATTAGGTTATTATTGGTTTTAGGTATAGTAAATACAACATGAAAAAGTTCTGCTTTTGTATGTAATTATGTAGTCTTTATTCATTTATTATACTTCTACTGATTGATGATAAATAAGAAGATACTATAGAGTGATTAAGTGATTACATAATTTCTGGAAATTCACAGTATTGTGGAATAATGATGCTCATTTAAAGTCACAAGTTCATTCTAACTTTCCTGGAGCAAATTGTCTATCACAGTCTGTAATATATAACGGTGTTCACATGTTATATACCATATATGTGATCAGCAGCATGGGGCTATTTAGTAGTGGTTCAACCAGATGAGTGGGAGTTCTTTGTTTCTTAAGTCCTGTTAGTTTTGTTGTATCACCTAACATTTTGGATTTAGCATCCTCTTATCAGGGAGACCATGTACCTTCTGTCTCTTCGTTCTTGGCTTACCTCGCTCAACATGATTCCTTCTAGCTCCATCCATTTCCCTGCAAATGCCATTATTTTGTCATTTCTAATGGCTGCATAATATTCCATTGTGTATAGATACCACAATTTTTGGATCCATTCATCTGTGGTGGGGCATCTGGGTTGTTTCCATATCCTAGCTATTGTGAACAGTGCTGCAATAAACATGGAGGTGCACGTGAAAAAAAACAAAAGAAGATACTATAGAAATTTTGAGGTTATTCAGGAGATTTACAATTTCTAAGCCAGTCTAGTGACTCTCTGTCTCAAAAAACTTACCATTTTGCTATATATTATTTGGTTGTGAATTCTCTTTAGTCACTTATAGGCAGCTTAATGAGTTCATAAATAAATCACAACCTCAGCTTTCTTATGGAGTATAGTTTGATTAAGTATAAGTCAAATGTGCATAAGGTACATGTAGTTAAAGCCCTAGAATTTTTCTTCTATTCAATGAGTATTTAGCTGTATAGTGCTGTCTCATTATTATTATTTTATAGTAGCCAACATAGCTGATAGAACAAATACTGCAGCCTATTCTTTCAAAAGTTTATTCATTATTGTTGATCTGTTACTCTTAGAATCAGGTTAGGTTCAATAAAAATATATTTTTCAAATTTTGGTACCATATTCATGTATGTTGATATAAAACAATTATAGAAGTTGTAGAGGAGTTAGCAAGCCAGCTAGGAACCTTTAGACTTGAGGAATAGTGAGCTTTCTGGGTTTTCATTTTGCTTCAATAAACCCTTAAATCCTTTCTACCCAAAGGATAGGGAAGTCCAGGTAGTATAATGGAAAATGTGACACCATAAATTCCCTATTCCAGCCAAACACCACTCCTGTGCTCATCAGTAAAGACCTACTGGGAACCTAGAGTTTTCTTTTCACCTGAGTATTAAGAAGCATTCTCACTTTTCTTCCTTCCATCATAGTACTAGTGCTAAGAATACCAAGAGGGGATATTCAGTGGTAATACTCCCTTCTCTACTTTTCAGTGGAGACTACAAAGGGGTTTGGGGCATCCAGAAGTGAAGAGGTACTTTTTGTATTTCCAGCAATTTGATTTTATGGGATAAGAACAGAGTTAGGGACTTTTATTACTGCATACTTCATAAGGCCCCAACTCTCTCCCCACATTGTCAATGGAAGCCTAATGGGAAGCATTAACAAATCCCTCCCTGAATATCTCAGCCACAGCAGAATAAGCCAAGGCCTACTAGAGAACCTGAAGTTCTATGTCCACCAAGCAATATGAAGGTACCCATCTCCAGCTATAGTATCAACAGTCTGGACTCCTGCCAATTGGCATAAGTAGATAATATGTCTCTTGTGCCATAAAAAGCCTACTCAAACAAGATGTGAAAAGTATACAGAAACTTGACAGAACCCAAAATGTTCAGGATACAGTTGAAATTCAGGAAAACTACAACTTATTTGAGGAAAGACAACAAACAGAAACCAAAAGTAATGATAAGCATTTTAAAGTAACTATCATAAAAATGCTTCAAGCATCAAATTTGAAAAAGCTTACAATATGAAAAATAAAGTATCTTTTTTAGTTTTTAATTTTTATTATTATAGAGGTGATGTACAAAGGGATTACAGTTGCAAAAATCAAGTAATGAGTACATTTCTTTTAGGACAGTGCCACCCCTTCCCGTGCTCAATAAAACATCTTGTACAAAATATCTCAGCAAAGTAATAAAAGAAATGAAGACTCAAATTAGAATTATAGAACCAAAATATAACTGTTTTTTTATATTTTAGCCCAATAAAGATTGACATAAATCCTATCACTAAAATTGGTTTATATGTCAAAACTCGTATCACCAAAATTGGTTAAAATGTCAAAACTGGTAGTACCAGTAGAGGTAGGAAAGCTTTATATTCACATAATAGAATATAGGGGCTCCAAATTATTCAACATAAATGTGAATTACTGGTATTTGATAAAGACATAAGAGCAATTCAATAAAGGGTATTTTTTTGATAGTGCTGCTAGAGGAATTGGTTATCCCCAGATAAAACCATGAACATAATGTAAGCCATTCCTAGAATACAAATTAACTTGAGATAGGTCACTGATAAAAAAAAAAAACTTTATATTATACAAAATTTTTAAATGTAAGAGGTAAAACTATACAATGTAGGGCTCAATGAGGAGTATTTAGTCATAATATAAAGTATTCACAGAGGACATCAATAAGTTTGAGCATATCAAAATTAACTAATAAGTTTTTCTGAGCATGGTGGTATATCTAATTCCTTCTACTGAGAAAGTGGAGGTAGGAGGATTATACTCCAAAGCTAGCTGGCTCATACCATTAATCTCTATCTGAAAAGTAAACTGAGAGGTAAAAGGATTGAGGGGCTAACTAACACCTCTGGATGGGCGCGTATCTAGCAAGTGTTAGACCTTGAGTTTGAACTCAGTACTCCCAGTGTAAAGTAAAACAGGAATAAAGCCAAAACAACGGTTGCTTTGCAAAAGGCCTAATTTATAGCATGAAAAGACTAGTTAGATTAGGAAAATATTCATAAACCAATTATCTGGCAAAGGACTCACATGTTGAATAAATAAAAGCATACTAAAAATAGCAACCAGTCCAATTAGAAAATGTGCAAAAGACATGAATCGTTTGCTAAGAAGGATATATTGATGGCAAATATAGAGATGTTCAGCATATTAGACATTGTGGAAACACAAATCAGTACAACAGTGAGATATCTTTTTTGCCACAGTTAGAATGGCTATTATAAAAAAGATAAAATATAGCTTTGCACTAGGGGTTCATGCCTATAATCATAGCTTCTTAGGAGACTCAGATCTGAGATTTCATTGTTTGAAGCCAACTAGAAAGAAAAGTGCATGGGACTCTTATCTCCAGTTAACCACCAAAAAGCCAGAAATGGAGTTATGACTGAAGAACCAATCAAGCAAAAAGCTAAGTAAGAGCATGGAACCCCAAGTTCAAGCTTGTGACTGTCATAAATATACATGTAAATAAAACAAATATTGGTTGGAGAAAGTGAAAGTTGTATATCCTGTTGATGGGAATGTAGATTAATCAGATATTATGGAAAAGAGTATGGAGGTTCCTTAAAAAACTAAAAAAAATAGATGTGATCCAAATATTCTGCTATCCAGCTATATAAGCAAAGAAGATAAAATTAGTATATCATAGAGATATCTGCATTCCCATGTGTATTTGCCCATATTGATTTCAGCCTTGTAAATAGTAACCAAGATAGAGAATCAACCAAATTGTGCATCAGTGAATGAAGAAAAAATATATATATATGGAATAGTACTTGGCAATAAAAAAAAGGATATTGTGTTACCTGTGGCATAAAAGATATAACTGAAGAACATGTTAATAAAAGAATCCAGAATCCAGGCACAAAAACAAATATTTCATGTTCTTATTGATATGACCTCTTACTATAGAAATGATTTCAGAGTGCTAGGGACTAGTGGCTTACATCAGTAATCCTTGTTACTCAAGAGATTGAGATCTTAGTATTGCTGTTTGAAGCCAGCCCGGGCAGGAAAGTTCAAGAGACTATCTCTGATAAACTACCCTTAATCAAAAGAAGCTCAGGGGACAGTGCCCAGGCCCTGAGTTCAAGCCCCAGTACTGGGAAACACACAAAAGGATTTCCTAGAAATAGAATAGTGATTACTGGAAGTGAGGAAGAGAAAGGACAAGAGAGATAGAGGTAACACAAAGAAATATGAAAGCTTAAAGTATTGAAAATAGTTAATTATCCTGATTTGATCATTATGCATTGTATAAATATATACAAATTTGCATATACCTATAAATATGTGTAATTATTATTTGTCAATTAAAGTTTTTTAAAGGAATGGTAAAATAGGCACATGAAAAGACTGTCAACATTACTGACCTCCAGAGAAATGCAGATTAAAACTATTATTAGAAGTGTATACTAGGACAGCTCAAATAAAAATTAATGATAATATCAAATGCTGATAAGAAGTAGACATTGGTGGTATGGATATAAAATCATTCAATACAATGCTCTTAAAAACAGTTTTTTTTAAAAATTGATTGTTACATCATTTAGTAAGCTTTTAGAGTATTTCTAAAGGCCAGTTTGGTATCCTGGACCTTGTTGTAATGATGATATTTCTAATTCTCTATTTAAAAAATATCATTGTACAAAGGAGTTGCCATTCAACAAAGCAGTTTATGAACACAATGGGTCTTGATCAATGTAACCCTTTTCAAGATTCTCACCTGCCCCTCCCAAGGTAGCCCTTCCCTCACTTTTTTCAATTTTGTAGGATATCCATTGAATTCTTGACTGCATTTTGCCCTACTTCTCATCATTCACCCAAAAAATATGGAACATTTCATGAATTTGCATGTCATCTTTGTGCAGGGTTCATACTAATCTTCTATCATTCTGATATTAGTATATGTGCTGCCAAAGCAAGTACTTGACAGTTCTTAAAGAACTAAGCCTACCATAAAGTCTAGATGTTATATTTTTAGATACATATTCCACAGAAATAACAATTTATGCTTATCAGAAAAACCTAGAGCTGAGAATCTATATAATTTTGAGGCATGCTTTATTTTTTTATTGTAAAGATACTATACAGAGGGTTGAGGCATGCTTTAGCATGAAAAATATTTGGAAAATAAATAATTTGTTAAATAAATAAAATCCACTTGTACATGATTAATGAATAGTCAGTCATACTACATTTAGAATGGCTGAACACTAGAAATTGACAATTTTTTCAATAGCTGAAAAGTTACAGTATGGCATATCCATTTGACAAGCAAAGTAAATTTTTTTTTTTTGAGTCCGGGTGTGGGGCCTGAACTCTGGGCCTGGGCACTGTCCCTCAGCTCTTCAGCTCAAGGCTAGCGCTCTACCACTTGAGCCACAGC